TTCAGAGTATTGATTTTTGTTTTTGCCACGCCTTCTAGGAATGTGATTCGATGACGATTTTTTGCAAGCACTTGAAACTTTTGTCAATATTTGTCACAAAAAATAATCAGATTTATATTTTTTATTTTATTGTTCATCCGAGCTCATTTGAGCTCGGGCTGAGAAACTTTGCGTTCATAGGGGTGAGTGTATGCGCGTGTATATGAGCGCTTGTGTCTGTACTGATGCTCAAAAAAAAACATTTGCCGCCACTAGTTTCGTTATTTTATCCTCCTGAATGCTCCCGGCATAAAAGGGACCAAGGAAGGATACAATCCATGTGTAAACGCTATTAAACTTTTTCATTAGTGCGTGCAAAATTATGTTAATGGGTTACGCGAGAATAGACTTGCTCAAATCATTCATGTTATACTCCTTTGATCCTAAATCTAATGCCTATGTTCTTGTAGAAAATAAATAGTCAGATGAAAGTGTCCTTCTACTCCCGAGCTCAAATGAGCTCGGCGAACAGTAAAATAAAAAAATGTACTTTTTTTATAACAAACATTGACAAAAGTTTTAAGTGCTTGCAAAAAATCGTCATGTAATCACATTCCTGTAAGACGTGGTAAAAAAAAGACCAATGCTCCAAAATGCTCTTGAAAGTAGCATTTTCAGAGTATTGATTTTTGTTTTTGCCACGCCTTCTAGGAATGTGATTCGATGACGATTTTTTGCAAGCACTTGAAACTTTTGTCAATATTTGTCACAAAAAATAATCAGATTTATATTTTTTATTTTATTGTTCATCCGAGCTCATTTGAGCTCGGGCTGAGAAACTTTGCGTCCATAGTCAGATTTTTTTGGGAGAATAGTCAGCCTTCCTCAGTACTTGACCCCTAATTAGTTGGTAACGACGTTAAAAAAAGACATGAATGCATGGTACCATTAAAAATTATATTAATAATGGTTTTGCAATATTTTTTTATTATGTTTTACTTGCATACTTCCTCCGTTTCAAAATAGATGATTCAACTTTATACTAACTTTAGTATAAAGTTGGGTCGTCTATTTTGAAATGGAGGGAGTACTTGTTTACTTAATTGCCGATATCATTTAATAACTACTCTCTTCGTTTAGAAATACTTGTCCTAAAATTTATTATATCTAGATTTATTTTAGTTATAGATACATCTATTTTATTCATTTTTAGGACAAGTATTTCTGGACAGAGGAAGTAGAAAAATACGGTTGTGCTGACAAACAACTCACCCTTTCTTCGTTCCTACGGAACGTGTGGCTACCCTGAGAGGCTGAGATACAGAACGAGTACGGCTGCTTCCCCACGGCTTTGTGTACCTCTGCACTGCAGCAAAAAGCCACGGGATTACAGATTGTTCAACGTAGTGGGTCTTGATTTGCAGAAGGCGCCGAGGAAAGCACACATCTGACCGCGCGGTGACCGAGCTTACAGATTGTTGAACATGCTGGGTCTTTGCATCGATCGAGATGAAAATCTTAGTTTCAGATAGATTCCTCGGGGGTGCGGCCATGATTCGCTAAGATTCTTGGTGCGCTAGCCAGCAGCAGCAGAGAAGATGGTGGCACTGGCGCCGGCCACACAGACGGCGTCGTTGTCACGGAGGGAATCGCGCGCCCCGCCCGTGTCCATGCCGCGCCACTTTACCTTCGCACGTCGTCGTCACCGGTGCATGTTACCGCTGCACAAGCCCACGCTCTTCTTCTTCCCCGAAGCTCGAGAGCCATGTCTGCGGTGCTCCTCTTCGCCATGGCCTGGATCATTGGTTCATCAGGTCGTGGTTGTTCCTACGTCTCGGTGTACTTCTTTTTCCTTACCGGGCCGGCTAAAATTTCGAGTAGACCCGTTACTTTTCCCCTCGCTGGCGGCACCGTCCGGTTTCTCTCTATTTTTGATTTTTTTTCCTCGTCCTGTAGCTGCCATTGTCCCTTCCCCTTCTCATCTCTAGCACGCAACCGCGACCAGAGCTTCCCTCCTTTCTTCTTGCTGTTTAGGTGTACAGATGTGGTCGTGCTGTTCGTGTTTCCCTCCTTTCTTCTTGTTCATTAGCCCCACGGCCGCTGACTTGTGAGAATTCTCAGCATGATCTTTGTGTGCTCCCTTTCTTTTACACAGCTATGTTATGGAAAGAAGAACTAAGATTTTCTTTATGATGGCATTGCCACGATGGTTGAGAGGTGTGCTTTTTTCTTTGACGCATCTCCAATACTACCACTCTTTCATTCCCTCTCATGTTTCTCAACACTCAAGTTACCATTCTGTGTTCTGTGTTCTGTACTTTCAACTCCTAACTAGTAGTATCTGTAACCAAGATTCATTTGGCATGTGTGGGCTTTTGGATTTTTTGAAATTCAGCTGCTATGTATGCACGGGCCGTTCAGATTTTGTCTGGAGGTGTTTGGTTCTCAGCTGCAATTCGTCTTCGTTTGAACTTCTGGCTCTCCGATCTGATCTTTGCGCGGAGATTCGCGCTTGGAGTTGGTTTTTTTCATGCCGGGTGCGCTCTAGTTTCCGGGCCAGCCCGTTAGCTCGCTGCCTTTTCCACTTCTATTTTTAATTTTCCTTTTAATCTCTCCCCATTTCTCGTTAGGCGGCACTGAAAGGATGGGAGTCCTTGCGATTTCTTCTTCCTCCATGGCCAATCCGAGCTCTCCCTCTTCTCCATCTTCAACATTTCCACTCCAGTGGTTGTGATTTCGGTTGGTGTGTAGTGGTTTGTCCTTGTCTTCTCCCTTTCCCTGTTCAATTTTGGTGTTCCTGTCCCTTCCAGATCTCGTAGTTTGGCTCGATCCCCTGACGTTTGATGTGGATGAAGGTGCACGTATTTTGATTCCCCTGGTCCTTTTGTGGTGGATGTAGTGGTATGTGTTTGGATCCCCCAGGCGTTTTGATTCTGCTAGCACATTTGACGTAGATGTATGTGCAGATGGTTGATCGCCCTGGCCTTTTTTGTTGTTAGATGTAGTAGTGGGTGTTTGATTCCCCTGGGCGTCTAATTCCCCTTGCCCGTTTTGATGTAGATGTATGTCTAGAGGCTTGATTCCGCTGGAGTAGCAAATATGAGCTCTACCTCATTCTCCCATTGTCTCTGTGGATGCAGGCGTTTGATTCCTCTTGGCTAGGTTTTGATTTCAGTGTGGATTTGTGGTCTGTGTCGGTGGGGGTTGTGCTTCTTCATGTTGATTATTGTGATAATTCTTTCTGAAATTGTGATCTAGTTAAGTGGAGTGCAGGTAGTGTTTTAGCCAATTCTCCCCCCTCTGAACTCATCTATTTAGCCATCTATTTAGTTAAGTGAAGCAACCAAATCTCTTTGGATGTGTGTGTTTGCTGGCTTGCCTTCTTTTCTTTTGCTTAGTTAATGTGTCTTTCAGTTATTGTCTCTGTTCATGCTTATCTTTGCACAAATAGTTGTTGCAACGGGCTATTGGAACTTTAGATGCGCACACTATATTAGTTTGTTTAATGTTTAGCTTGGTGTTATGTAGTACCTGTTTGTTCACTACATTTGGAGTATGGTTCTGGCTCACACTGTATTTGTAATTCTACTATAAATTTGCACTATAAATCTATTGAAATTATACTGTTAATCCACTGCAATTACATGTAATTCTACCGTATTTTTACACTGTAATTCTATTGTAAATTGCACTGTAAAGCTACAATAAATTACAGTATTGATCTACTACAGTTACACCATAATTCTACAGTATTGTTTACTTTGTAATTCTGCTGTAAATTACACTGTAATTGAACTATAATATAATGTATTTTCACTGTTATTTAACTGTAAATCAATTGTAAATTACAATGTGATTCAAACTGTAAAACTGTGATCTTCTACTGTAATTGAACTGCAGAATGTTACACTCTAAATTACACTATAAGTTTTTTTACTCTTTTTCAACTCTTCCTTTTTGTCTGTCATGTAATCTGCTTATAGGATTAGTTTAATGGGTAGACTACGGAAGGTTCTCACCAGGACATTCCTGTAGTATCAACTTTTGAAACTCCAGATTCTTTCGATGAACCTTTTGTGCCCAACAACTTTGTGGTTTATGATTCATATGAGTTGTCGTCGGTAGTTATTCTTGTCTATTTTTTTGTTATTTTCCTCATTTGTTTTAGTTCTTTGTTTTAGTTCATTTTAATTTGTTTATTGGCTGTCTCTTTTTATGCAGGAACTATTTGTAGATGATGGCAACTTTTAGAAAGCTCTACTGAAGTTCTATATGAATCATTTGCGTGCTATTTGTTTACTTGAAGTCCTTGCATTTTTATTTTGTTTTTCTTTACTTATGCCTTTTCCACCTTCCTTTGGTTTACAGTCCTCTTCATTCATTTGTTATTTTTTTCAGAAAGTAAAATGTTTGAAATGAAAGCTTTCATGTGCTGGTACAAAGAATGTGGTTAGTTGCATCAAATTCTTTTCATATCGTACTAGTCACTTCTTTTTTTAGGAATTTACTTTAGTGTTACCTATGTACTTAGACTAGTACTGTTTATAATCATCTTCCACAGTAATCTACCTTAGTTTTTTATTTGTTTTCCCTTCTTGTTTCATTTAGAGACATAAGAGATATAGTGATTTCCCTGTTTGTTCAACCTTTACTAGATATTCTGGGAAGTTCTTTTATGTGGTGTTGTTGATGGCTGTATAAGCTTCGACGGCGCTTCCCGATCGTTGGAGGTGGTAGTTAGGCGTGTCGTCACGGAGGGTAGAGCTTGGCAGCAGGCGAGCCTGTTGAAGGGTGAAGTAGATAGCACGTTTGAACTTCTCGTGGGGTGGGCGGGCAGTGAGTAGTCCGGTATTCCGCGTTCTGTAGGTGGAGCGGTGGGTTGTATGCGTTGTGTTGATGTTGATGTAGCGTTTAACTCTATGTAACATCAACGGTGGTCGGGATTCTTCCCCCCTTCTTCTATACAAGATGATACGCACACTCGTGCGTATTCGAGAAAGAATGTTATTCAGAGATATGGGATGGAGTGTGTTCTTCAAATCTTCATTTTGTCAGAACTGAGGTCCCTGAAAGGCTTGTCAAATGGATTGCTACTAGGTTTGATGTATATTGCATTCATTTTTAGAACCTTTTTTGGAGTTTACTGCTTAACTTGCAGTTTCACTAAAAGTGTAACTTCAGGGGCAATCGACACTGTAAATTCAGGTCAATTACAATTTGAGTGCATTTGCTGTGTAATTTGAGGGATTTTACGTTATAAATTTAGGGAAATTACTACTATTATTCATGTGCAACATTCAGTGTATTTCGCAGGGCAATTACTATGCAAATCATAGAGAAATTACATTGTAATTCGTGTGCAACTCACTGTAAGTCGCACGGCAGTTACAACGTACTTTTTAGGGCAATTTTATTTGGTTTGTCTTTGTTTTATTGGTTTGTCTTTGTCGAGTAACATTATTTTTCTAGATAGTTTTGGGGTTTTGTCAATGTTAGATAGCACTCTCTTACTGTGAAAATTGCAAATCTACAAATTCACCGTAAAACTGTAAATATACTACTGTTATTCAATTGATTTACTACTGTAAATTACAAATAAGGCTGACAAACTTACACTAATTTACAGTGGTAATCTACAGTTCTTACAGTGGTAATATGCAGCAGTTTTTTTTAATAATTTTGAAGGTGTACTCATGCAATCACAGTGTAATTTTGCTCTTTTGTTAGTTTGCAAGAGTCAGCGTTTATCTTGGGTTGCAACTGTTAGCGGTCATTTTCTCTGCTTATCAGTATTTTTCACTGTAATTCTTACTGGATTTTTTAGTGTAATTACTCTATCTTATCATTTGAATTTACACAGTAATTCATAGTGGATTTTTTAGTGTTTTTTACTCTATCTTGATCAGTGATTTTACACTATAAATCTTAGTGGAATTGTAGTGTAATTACTTATATTATCAGTGAATTTACACTATAAATCATAGTGGAATTTAAGTGTGATGTTAACTGTAATTTTTAGTGTGCTTTTGGTCTTTTGTTGGTTTGCTAGAGCTATGGTTTGTCTTGGATTCCACATGCTAGTCTTTCATATGCTTATTCATTTAAATTTTTATTTCTTACTGTTTTGATCTCTCCCTGGTTATTGATATGAGGTATTTCTTCAGCTGTTCCTGCATCTTCAAAGGACTGTAGTCAACTTCCATGTTAGGCTCCACCTCTGTATAAACACCTCCCAAATGTCCTCTCTTTTTTTTCCTACCTCTGTAAGACCAGAACTGTTTTTTGTTTTCAACTGTGTAAGACGAGAAATTGTGAGGACATCCAACCTTGATCCTCTGTCTGACCAAGTTAACATTTTTACTGAGAGCCACGAAAGCATTTTTACTTTTTACCTTTTCCTCTGCTGTTTTTTGCAGGAGCCTACGACCCCCTTGATCCAACGGGCAACATCACAATCAGATGGGATGTGAGGAGCTGGGTTCCAGATAGCTATGTGGTAAGGATGAATCACTTGTTGAACAACAATAATCCCTCTACAATTCCACATTATGAAATATACGTAATGTACAGCAATGACTGCTCAGGCATGAGACTGTACCTTTCCATTGCTTGAACTCTCCATCAGCCAGCTATATTTCGAGTTCAACAGCCAGTGCAATAAATGTTTATCCTCTTCCCAGTTACTCTACTTTCCAAATGCTGACATGATGTAATTTCTCCAGGCTGAGGTTTCACTATTCAACTATCAGCAGTACCGCCACTTCAGCCACCGGGATGGAAGCTCGGGTGGGTGTGGTCAAAGAAGGAGGTAATCTGGTATGTGCAAGGTGGACAGGCTACAGAGCAAGGTGATTGCTCCAAATTCAAAGAGATTATCCCTCACAGCTGCAAGGTGAACCCGGAGATAGTCGACCTGCTTCCCGGGGCACCTTCCAATAGGCAGAGGGCCAACTGCTGCAAAGGAGGAGTCCTCAGCTCACTGGCACAGTACCCTGCTAATGCTGTGGCCTCCTTTGAGGTTGCAGTTGGTCGATCAGGGACCACAACCAAGACCTTGGAATTGCCTGTGAATTTCACTCTGAAGGCCCCTGGTCCAGGGTATACCTGTGGACCTGCAACCAAGTTAGATGAACCTACAAAGTTCACTACACCAGATGGAAGGAGGAAAACTCAAGCCCACAGTAAGCCATTGTCTAATTTCTTGATGCATGTAAAGAATATCTCAGTAACTAGCATGCATATCAGACTGTTTGTTTTATTTTGCAGTGACATGGACTGTGACTTGCACGTACTCGCCGTTTCGTGCTCTGAGATCTACATGCTGTTTATCTCTGTCAGCATTTTACAGCGACGTGCCTGTTACCTGCCCCAAATGCTCATGTGGCTGCCAAGATAACATTACAAAACCAGGAATCTGCGTAGAGTAAGTTACATTTGACATAACCCAAATAATAAACTAGAACGAAGAGCCAGCTTATTGTTTAGTTATCTAACAGTGGGTGCTACACATTTTTAGGGGAAACTCACCTTATCTTGGTTCTGTCATGAATGGTCAAGACAAGAACGGCTTGGCACCTCTGGTCCAATGCACTACTCATATGTGCCCAATAAGAGTTCATTGGCATGTGAAGGCTAACTACAAGGAGTACTGGAGAGCCAAGATCACAGTGACAAACTTCAACTACCGGATGAATTACTCGCAGTGGAACCTAGTAGCTCAGCACCCTAATTTCAACAGCTTGACTAGCATTACCAGCTTCAACTACACAGCTCTGAACCCTTATGGACTTATAAGTGAGCACCTCATCCCTGGACACTTGATATTCCTTGTGTGAATGTTTTTTCGGCTATTGACAAATCCTCTTATCGCAGATGACACCGCTCTGTTATGGGGCATCAGGCACTACAATGATTATCTCTTGACTGCTGGACCTGATGGATATGTTCAATCTGAGCTACTATTCCGGAAGGACCCGTCAACTTTCACCTTGCGGGCAGGATGGGCCTTTCCAAGAAGAGTGTACTTCAATGGCGACAAGTGTGTGATGCCACCTCCAGATGCGTACCCGTGGCTGCCAAACACATCCACGAAATCAACCGTATCAGTTATCGTCCCATTGGTTCTTTGGATATTGCTAGCTAATCCCTACTTCTGAGAAGAATGAAGGTGCATTAATAAGACATGCTTCTAGTCTAGTTTTCATGGCTGACTTTTTTACACCTTGTTTATGAAACTCTGCACTGGAATCATTTCATTCGGCCCTCAACCAAGTAATTAGTACCCTGTTAAACTTTCCTGCAGAATGCAAGTCACTGACACCCTGATGCATGTAAACGGTGCCCTCGTAGGCCCCCAGCGCAGCCCCCAGCGTAAGTGTATTGTTTATTTCCTGCTTTCGGGCGCGCATGGGTGCTCCTTCTTTGCTGATATCTGATTGCTGGTTTGTGCAGGGGCAGAGCAGCCTCACCAGGAGGGCCCGGAGGCCGCTCCCGAAGTGTCATCTGCTTCCACTACACCGCCAAGGGAGGATTCCCCGGCAAGGGAGTGTTCTCCGGCAAGGGAAAATTCTCCGGCAAGGGGTAGTCCTCCGGCAAGGGACAGCACCAACGATCCTCCGGTGATCTCGACCGCAGATCTTAGCATAGGTAATGTTTTTGCCTGAGAACTTCCCTTGTGTTCTTCTTCTGATTTTCTTTTTTTGAATGTTCGCTTGATTTCTCTCCCTTTTTTCGTTCGCCAGATCCATCTGCCACAGAGCCGATGGAAATTGAGGTCGCCGACGAGGAGAACGCGCGCAGCAGTGTTGACGACGCCGTCACCACCGAAGGAGAGGCCGGCGCTGATGATCCTGCTGGCGAAGAGGCCGCCAAGGCTGCCGCCGCAGAAGCCGGCGAGGGATCTGGCAATCGCACTGATGGCCCTGAGGCCGCAGGAGCGCCAGGCGCTACGCCGACCGCTGATCCCTCCGCCGCTGCTGCAGCGCCAGGCTTCGAAGAGCCCCAGCCCGGCGCCTATCTGAAGGCCGGCGACGGCATCTTCATCAAGCTCCTCTGGGCTTCAAGCTCCAGGGCGCCGGTCGAAGGAGAGATGCTGGACGGAGAAGTACTTGCCTCCGCTGGGCTGAAGCTGGTTGACGCGCCAAGCAGCAGCAGCGACGAGCCTGAGGAGGAGCGGCTGCTGCGGAAGCTGTTGTCACTCTACCGCGCCTGACAAGCCAAGCTGGTGTCCCGCGAAGCACTTGTCGCGAAGGCGGGAGTTGACATTGAGAAGCGCGCGGAGGAGCTCCGGGGCCTTAAGGAGGAAGCTCTCCGGTCTTTGGCGGAGGAGCGGGAGCAACTTCTCGAGGAGCGGAAAGCCTTCCTCCTCGAGAAGGCTGAAGCTGAAGAGAAGCAACGGCTTGTCGCCGAAAACTTATTTGCGCAGGAAGGAGAGTTGGCGCAGCGCAAGGTCAATCTTGACAGCCACGAAGAGGAGCTTGCCGCGCGCGATCAAGCAATTGGCGGGGCTCTCAAGGAGGCAAAGGATGCTGCCGCAGCTGCCGAGGCCGCCAAGAAGGAGCTGGAGACAAAGGTGGCGCAGCTGGAAGCCGATCTTCGGGCGAGCGGCGAGGAGCTTGCCGCGCTCAAGCGTAAGCGCGAGAAGGACGCTGCCGCTCATGGTGAGCTGCAGGGTCTTCTCGCTGAGAGGAGCAAGGAGCTCAGCGCCGCCAAGGATTCCAGTGCTGATCTCGAGCTAAAGCTGGCCACGTTGACTCAGACGCTGGACGGCACCAGGGAGCGGGAAGCGGCCTTGTCAGAGAAAATCAAGGCCGATGAGGTGCTGCTGGCGAATGCTGCTGCCGCCCAGGACACTTTCAGGGAGACCGTGGAGCATTGGACCGAGGGTCTTGTGGATGCTGCTGCGCCAAAGATGTCGGGGAAACTGATCCACGAACACCTATGGGACCGGCGGACCGAGCCCCTTTCGGTTCGGCGGGGGGCGGAGATCGCACGAAGAGCAGATCAAGGCGAATCACACGAGCAGTTTACCCAGCTTCGGAGCTCTCCGAAGAGATAATACTCCTACTGCTGCTTGTCTGATTATATTGAGTTCTTGCTCGGGAGCGCTGAGTGCTATAGTACACTCTAGCTGCTAACGAGACCGAGCGTGAGTGTTTTTTGGCTTCGAACCTTCCGAACCCCCCTCTACGTTGCGCATGTGCCTCCTTTTATATGCTCAAAGTGTCACCGACAGGTGGCAACGTAGACAAGGGTAAGAATGGAAAAGGACTTGCGGTTGGTACAACTACCTGTACAGTGTTTCCTACCTAACCCTGATGGCAGGGGACAAAGGCATTAAGTGCCCGTCTATGTCGCCCAAAACAGTGCAGAAATGGACCATCAGGGGCGCCACCGCTTGCCACGATGGCGATCTTGTCAGCGCCGCTTGCCACCGCGCACCGCTGGCTGCACAACCTCTCGCCACACACGCCTGGAAAGGCCCCAGGGCGACACGTTAGTGGATGTGCTGGAGCGTAGGTACAGGGTGGTAGCGTGCCGCGGCAAGTGCCTTGCCGCGGTCATTGTCTTGTCGCGTCCGGAGGCTTGTCGCTCTCCGGGCCTTGGCGCGTCGCGGCAAACTCCTTGAGATGCCTTGGTGGGCCTTCCCGGCAAGCTCCTCTTGCCGGGGCCTTGTCTCCTTGGCTTGGATACTTTGTTCTTATGCCTTGGTTGGCCTTCCCGGCAAGCTCCTCTTGCCGGGGCCTTGTCTCCTTGGTTTAGATACTTTGTTCTTGAATGGCTCCACAGGAACCGCGGAGGACCTTGGTGGTCACCCGGCAAGCCTTGCCGCGGGTGGCTGCAACTGCCCGTGCACAAGTTCGGGATACTAGGGTACCCCTACTCTAATACACCGACATATTAGATTCCGTAGAGTCCTTTTCGGTGAAACAGCTAAACTTTGGGCCGAGCTTAAAACTTGTTGTGCTAAAGTAATGTTATCTAAAGATAGAGATAGTTGTAGATGGCTTTTGACTAAGAATGGATTTTTCTCGGTTAAATCTCTGTATAATTTTCTTAAGATGCAGCAGGTTCAATGTAAATTTAAAAGCTTTTGGAAAATTAAAATACCTTTTAGAGTTAAAAAATTCTATGGCTTACTTTTAAGGACAGTATTCTAACTAAGGATAACTTAGTGCATCGTGGTTGGACATGTGATGAGCGTTGTAGGTTTTGTTCTTGTAAAGAAACTATTGATCACTTGTTCTTCAGTTGTAGTGTAGCCAAATATGTGTGGAATGTAAGTTCTTGTGCATTAGATTGTAATGTGATGCCTGGTAAACTAGAAGAGCTTTATGATTGGATTTTGTCGTTTGAAGGAAACGGGGTGAGGCAGGTTGTGGAATCTGGAGTGGCTTCGGTTTTATGGGGGTTGTGGAAAATTAGAAACAAAGCCTGCTTCCAGCATGTTTACCCTGCTGATCCTAATAGTTTGGTAATAATCATATCTCAGCTGTTATTTTCTTGGTCTATTCTGCAGAGGAAAAAGCTCGGAAAAATCCTTTGCTATGGAGCCAAGTTGCTGCTGGTAGTGGCGTCTGATTCAACAGGAATAGAGGCTGGGCATCGTTGACAAAGACTGGAATGAAAAGAAGAAGCAATGAGTTGAAGTGGTGAAAAAAAGAAGGTGCTGTGAACTATCAGGATGTTGTTGCGTGCTCTGGTTTTTGCTTTCTTAGGTGATATCCTTATTCCTGGTATGCTTTGTTAGAGATGTACGCTGCTTCAGTTTCTTTTACTGTAGTTTTGTGTACTTCCCAAGTTCCCAGAGTAGAGGACCTGTCAGTAGGCGCTTGGTAGAAAAAAGACCTCTGTCACTTTTGCTGTGTTATCAGCTTCTTAATTGAAGTTGGGGACGTTACCCCTTAAGTCGGAAAAAAAGAAGAAGGATTACCTTCCTCAATTTTCTCAACTAATCAATCATTTTGCTGGTCTATCACTCTGTAATTGTCATGTTCAATTGCTCTTGTGCTTACTGTTTGCCAAGGTCATGATACAACTGGTAACACTTGTAACTTTTCGCAAGAACGTATTCATATATGCATTAGAGATCGATATATTTGCAAATCACTCATGTCATTATAAACAAAGATCATATGCCATGGATCCAAGAAAACATGCTAAATCGCCTAACAACGTCAACACTCAAAAGCAAAATAGCATAGTAAAGACATCACATAAATGCGAAATACAAGACGCTCCAAGAAAAAGTGGAAAACTAAAAAACAAATACTAATCTCATACAAGATGCTCCAAGCAAAACACATATCATGTGGCGAATGAAAATATAGCTCCAAGTAAAGTTACCGATAAACGAAGATGAAAGAGGGGATGCCTTCCGGGGGCATCACCAAGCTTAGGCTTTTGGCTATTCTTGAATATCTTGGGGTGCCATGGGCATAACCAAGCTTAGGCTCTTGCCACTACTTATTCCATAGTCCATCAAATCTTTACCCAAAACTTGAAAACTTTACAACACAAAACTCAACAGAAAATCTCATAAGCTCCGTTAGTGAAAGAAAGCAAAACCACCACATAAGGTACTGTAATGAACTCATTCTTTATTTATATTGATGTTAAACCTACTGTATTTCAAGTTCTCTATGGTTCATACCACTTAATATTAGCCATAGATGCATCAAAATAAGCAAACAACACACAAAAAACAGAATATGTCAAAAACAGAACAGTCTGTAGCAATCTGTAACCCACGAATACTTCTGGAACTCTAAAACTCCTACCAAAATAGGAAGTCCTGGGAAATTTGTCTATTGATCTAAAGCAAAAAGAATCAACGCAAAAGCACGTTTATGTATTTTAACAAAACTAATTTCGTGCATGCAAAGTTTTTGTTTTTCAGCAGAATCAAATTAACTATCACCATAGGTTATCCTATAGGTTCTACTTGGCACAAACACTAATTAAAACATAAAAACACATCTAAAAAGAAGGTATATGCAAAATTTATTACAAAACAGAAACAAAAACAAAAAACACAAATAAAATTGGGTTGCCTCCCAACTAGCGCTATCGTTTAATGCCCCTAGCTAGGCATAAAAGCGAGGATAGATCTAAGTAGTGCCATCTTTGGCACTCAATTCCTCAATAGAGCACTTAT